ATGCTACAGTAAGCATAATCTTAGTTCACCTTTAGGTCCTCATTCTAATGCTTCTTAGGTTGGAACCTAGTTCCTCTCTTTAGACCTTAGAACACTATGAGGTACTACCTTAAGCACATCTAAGTTCCTTATTAGGTTGAACCCTATAAGATACTTCTTTTAGCATGTCTAGGTTCATTATTAACATGGACCCTATGAGATACTACCTTAAGTATGTCTAAGTCCATTTATACTTAGGAACACTATGAGGTACTTTACTAAGCCTATCTTAGTTCCTTATAACTTCGAACCCTAGGATATACTACATTAAGTACATCTTAGTTCATCAAGCTTGAACTCTAGGAAATGCTACTTAAAGAATAATCTTAGTTCACTAAGGTTGAACTCTAGGAGATGCTTCCACAAGCATAATCTTAGTTCATTTAGTTTGATCTCTAGGAGATGCCCCTTCAAGCACAATCTTAGACCATTACTTGTATTGGACTCTAGGTGATGCTACCTTATGCATAATCTTAGCCCATGAGGTTTGAACTCTAGGAGATGCTACCTTATGCATAATTTTAGCCCATGAGGTTTGAACTCGAAGAGATGTTACATTGAGCACAATCTTAGTTCATTACCAATCTTGTTTAATTGGGATATAGCCTTAACCGACATAAGAACATATGAAATATCACATGATCTCTCATGGTGTTACCCACACCATCAAGGATTGGTCCACTTGCCTAAGGTAGGACCAGTTTGTTAGCTTAGTTGGATCCACTAGCTAACTCTCCTATGGGGAACGTAGTTATGGGATACGGAGATTGCTACTAGAAACCCAAAACTTCACTAGGTGAAGGCTTCCATCTCATGAGACACACTTTGGGAAATCCAGATTATTCTAGGTGAGAGATCCCATGTTGGAAGCCCAAACTCAACTAGGTGGGAACCTCCATAGATGCCCAAATTCAACTAGGTGGGAACTTCCATCTCATTTCAATATCCACTCAGTGCTAGGCCTAAATCCCATAATATAATCATTAAGTCTCTACTTTGACTCAAGTTTATGGAAAGATATCCTTGACAACCAATCCATGTTAATACCTCTTTTAGACCATGTGTGAGCAACTATCACCATCCATGACCTAGGTATAAAGGCCCTATAGCCTTAGGTTCAATTAGGTAAGAGAAGCCCTTCAACCCTAGAACCATTACTATGTGAGAAGTCTTTCATGTTAAGTTCATCTTCTTGCCTAACATCATATCTAGAGTTCTACATTAGACAAGGATATCATCATGACTTAAGTGATTCTATCACTTCCTACCATCTACGATTCATAAGGTGAATTAGGTAGGTAAAGATCTTTCATCACAATTCTATTCATTGGCCTTGTATTCACATGTAGATTTTACTCTCAAAGCCTTAGCATCTATAGTTAATCATATTAGCTTCACTTTAAAGCCCTAGTGATCAACATTCACAACTATGAGTCTTCATTCTCAATAACTCTACATCATAGAAACATATTATCAACCTAGATTACAAGGCATTCAATCACTTTCTTCATTACTAGGTGATTCTTGCCACAATTCATCCTAAAGGTTCAATGCCAACTTTACAATTCAAGATCAATCATGTAGTATAGAGTCTAGTTCAATTCATGTCTAGGTATTCCTAATCTTGAACAATTACTACTCATGACATTGGTTTAAGAAGATCACCTATGAACCTTCAATTTCACCTCTAATGGCATAAACCCACAAGATATCACATTCATCATATATACTAGGGTTTACCATAGAAATCACATGAATTCATCATAATATCATAATTCAATGCTAATAAAATCATAATTAGGTATTATCCACTAGATTGGAATCATACCTAAACCCTACCCACAATGTAGAAGGAAATCCTAGCTAGCTTGGGTTTTTGACTTCACAATTGGGGGAAAACCTAGGGGGCTCTATGGATGTAAGAACCCATAGATGATTAAGCTAACATACCTTAAATCAAAGCCCTAATCAAGCTTCCATCAATGGAGGAAAATATTCCCTCTTCTCTTCTCTTCTTCTTCTTCTTCTCCTTCTTCACTTCTAGAGAGAGAATATTTGGAGAGAATTTGGGGTCTTAGATGAATGAGTTAAATGATTTAGTTTAGGGGTCTATTAGGTATTTATAGGTGGTTAAATAACTAACTAACCGACCTCCCTTAACCCCTAACTAATTACTAATTAACCCCTAAGTCCCCTAACTAAAACTAAAATCTTAAAAACTGTTTGGACCTACGGAACCACCACCCACGGACCGTGGGTGAGTTGACAAGCCGTATTGGTTGGCTCGTGGTTCCTTACTGGAACTAGGGAAATCAGTGGAGGTCAAGCCTCGACCCATGACCCCCACCAACGGGGCGTGGGTCCACCCACGACTCGTGGGTGCCCATCCGTGGACCAAGCTATTTTTGACAGCTTTTGGGCTGTTTGAAAGATCCTCCTCAAGGACCCCTTGGGTGGTCCTTAGGAGTCGTACCTTGACGCCCTAACCCTAAAACCCCTATTCTAAGTACGAGAATCATTTTACGTGTTTTAACCCTCATACGAAACTCAAAACTACCATACAACGCTCTAGAACTCTCTAGTTCACTCACTAGTTTCCGGGGCATTACAATATAGATATATACTCAACTGAATGTAAAGAAATAAAGAAGTGAAATCATTAAAACTTTTTTTTAAGAAAATACTTACTCATCTCTGAACTCAACATATTAAGTGATATAATAAAAATACATTTTTAACTCTATTTGGAAGATTCTCTAACCGACAACTATAACTATGAGCTACGTGATGATATAACGTCTCCCCCATGCTGCCAGAAATGTCTTATACCTTGTCGGGGTATAGAACACCTCAACTAAGTGGATCCACTAAGCTCTGTCCGAAGGCACTAAGTATTCATCTAAAAAGTATGACCCTTTACCCATGTTTGCATATATGATTTATGAGGATTTTGAGTTGTTTGAACTCATCCCCATAACGGTGCTCAGTACTACTCCTAATAATATACTCATGCTCAAATGTATAAAACATACTCTCTCTATTTTGAGGTAATTACTCAAAATAACTTCTTAAAAAAGGTAATACTCTGAAGTATCTCTGAACTCATAAACTCATTTAAAAATAAAAGTTCCTCATTCTCAATGTAAAAGTATTAGTTCCCTTAAAATTTACTCAAAATGTCTCTTTAAACTTTCTTCGAAACTCCTCTTTACTTTCTCAGAAAATCAATTGAAGATAATTGTTCGATTAAAAGATTCTCAACAATAACTCAAGGAATACTCAAATAATAGGGTTCATGCTGAAATATAGACATGAACGAATCAACTCAATAAAAGTTCTTGGACTTTTCTCTTAAAATTAAGACATGTGATTAGGATATGCATGGATTTTCAAAGGTAAACGGAAATTATAGGAGCTACTACAGAGAAAGGAAACGTGACACAACTTAAAGGAATATGCAGCGGATGAAACAAAGAAAAGAATGAGCCCAACAAACCTTGGCGCACTGTTGGCACGCCGCCCTAGGGCCTGAACTGCTGAAGGCCAGCCTTGGCGCGCCGCCCTAGGCCCTTCCCCAACAACTCAACAAATTGTCAAGCCTAAAAGGCCCCAAATTAGTTTAGAGTTGGGAAATTTCTCCTAAACTCTTCTTGATTCTCAACCCAAAACCAAACACTAGAGAACTTTCATATAATTCCTTTGGAAAACATCACTTTACCAAATCAAGAGGGTTCATGTGATACCAAGCATGAACAACACCATAAGATTCATAAAACAACAGAATCAAAACCTCAATTGTTAAATAATCAAATTCAATATCAAGAACTACGAATGGATCTTTTAGATGTAACGATTTCTTAACTAAATTGAGATGTAGGGCGTGAGGACGAACAAGTCCAACACTTTGAGAAGCCTTACATACCTGGAAAGAACAAACGTTATTGGAGAAAATCAATGGAATTTTGAAGAACGCTTGAAACTTAGTTTTTTCTCCTCTTGGAACCTTGCTCTAATTTCTCTAAGTGTTAAAGAACGTGAAAATATGGTTTAACGTTATTTCAAACCTTAATTGGGTGAAGAAAAATGTGACTAGGCTTAGAAGGGATGGGAAAAGACCAAACTGCCCCTCTAAAGACGATTGAAGTGCCTTAAAAGAGAGGCTTCACCAAAACAAGCATAACTTTTACTCCAAACTCGAAATTAAGCAAACTTGGCGGTGTTGGAAAGAGGACTCAAAGACCTTTAATTTTATAGGTTATGGGCCACCTAATTCTTTATGTGCTAAGAAATATGATCGTTTGAAGTTGAGCCAAGTAAAATCTCATATTGAAACTCAATCGGTAAGAAAGCTTTCAACTCAACTTTGTGGTAGGGGATTCTAGTGATCTTAATTCATATCCAAAATCGTTCCCACACTAAATAATTGACCTTAACACCTAAGAACAAGTAAGAATCACTCGGTACGATCTTATTAACAAATGAAGAATGATTCGAGTCTTAACTTAGAAATTTTCGGAATGTTACAAAGAGGCATGTTATTTAAGTAGAGAATGACGGGTTTTTTTTGTAACTCATTAGATATAATTAGAATAGTAAATATGATTGAATTTTTATTTAGTTAAGAAAATATTTAATGAAAAAATTAAGAAAAAAATAAGAAAAAATAAGAAAAAAGATAAATATGAATGGAGGCTGACACATTACCGTGTCTATGTTTCTCCTTTATGTAGTTATAGATATAGATATAAATGTGTAATTTAAATTTAATTAATTCAAGTAAAAAAAAAATTGTATTATAAACTATTTGTAATAATCTTTTGCATTATTAAGCATTGAATAAATAATTCCATGTGAACCAAATGAATTAGCTTAAAATGTCTACTTATTAATGTTAGATTAGCAATAACGCCTGGAGTGGGGTATTTTGGCATCTCCTTGCTTAAACCCTAAAACTCACCACTACCATGGCTATACAGGGCTGTGCCGGAGAGCAATGAATGGAGTCAATTACTGAAGCTATTTTGTTCTACTTCGCCATGTTAATTTTTGTTCGGGGCCTATTAGGTATCACATTCAGAAAATCTGACCGTGTAAGCCATTTCTCACCTGCTACATTTACTCCATTCCCGCAAAACTTGTTCTTCTTTGTCAACAACTTTCTTTGCTTATTCAGATACCCATTTTCCACAAATACTAGTAATACTTTTTTGAATGATAATTCCATTAAGAATATCATACGGGAAGAGAAATGGGAAGATGATATTAGGATTGCAAGACTTTTTGATTCCGCTTTAGCTCCTATTTGGGTCTCCGAAATTCTATTGGCATTGAAACAAGACCCAAGGTTAGTGTTGAGGTTTTTCAAGTGGGCAAAAACACAGACTGATTTTTATCATACTGCAGAGGGTTATTGTATTGTAGCTCACATTTTGTTCTATTCTAGAATGTATAGTGATACATATGATGTTCTAAAAGAACTGGTTACCTTGAGTAATGATAAAAAGGTATTGCGTTGTTCTGATGTACTTGATGTTCTTTGGTCAACAAGGAATGCTTGTAAGCCAGGGTATGGGGTGTTTGATGCATTATTTAGTGTACTAATTGAGTTGGGGTTGCTTAAGGAGGCTAGTGAGTGCTTTTTAAGGATGAGAAGTTTTAGAGTTCTTCCCAAAGCACGATCTTGCAATTATCTTTTGCACAGATTCTCTAAGTTAGGTGATAAGAACTCATCATTGAAGTTCTTTGATGATATGATTGAGTCTGGAATTGTTCCAACAGTGTATACCTACAATATAATGATTGACTATTTATGTAAGGATGGGGATTTGAATGCAGCAAAAAGGTTATTTGCTCAGATGAAGGATATAGGCATTGAACCAGATATTGTTACATACAATTCTCTCATTGATGGAATTGGTAAGCATGGGGAGCTTGAGGAGATGGTTTCTATCTACAAAGAAATGAAGAAATCTAAATGTCTTCCTGATGTAGTAACATACAATACATTGATCAATTGTTTCTGTCGATCTGGAAGGATGGCAGTAGCATTTGAGTATCTGCATGAGATGAAGAGAAGTGGCTTGAAGCCCAATGTGATTACCTATAGCATATTTATTGATGTTTTTGCCAAAGAAGGAATGTTACAAGGAGCTATCAAGTTCTTTGTAGACATGAGGCGGGTTGGTCTTGCTCCTAATGAATTTGCTTATACTTCGTTGATTGATGCTCATTTTAAAGTTAGTAAAGTTGATGAAGCGTTGAAGCTTGTTAAAGAGATGCTAGAGGTAGGAGTTAAGTTAAATGTCGTGACCTATGCGACATTGGTCGATGGCCTTTGTAATGTGGGGAGTATCAAGGAAGCTGAAGAAGTTTTTAGGGTCATGTTGAAGGATGGGATTGTCCCAAATTTAGAAGTCTATACTGCTCTTATCCATGGGTATATCAAATCAAAAAGGCTAGTGGATGCTTTGAATATTTTGGAACAAATGAAAGAAAATAATATCAGACCAGACACATTACTCTATGGAATAGTTTTATGGAGTTTTTGCTCTGACGAGAATTTTGAAGAAGCCAAAGTTTTATTTGATAAAATGAAGGGACTTGGGATAGAGGGAAACTATGTCATATACACAATACTTGCTGACGCTTACTTTAAGGCTGGAAAATCTGTAGAAGCACAGGCTCTGCTAAATGAAATGCAGGAAAGAGGTATTTCCCCTACAGTTGTGACGTATTCTGCATTAATTGATGGCTTGTGTCGGCTGGGATTTGTCCAGGAAGCAATGGACCATTTCCATTCTATGCCAAAAATGGGTTTGCAGCCTAATGTTGTGGCTTATACAGCTCTAATTCATGGCCTCTGTAGAAATAAATGTCTAGAGGCTGCGGAAAAGATGTTCAATGAAATGCTTGGAAAAGGTATCCATCCAGATAAAATAGTTTATACATCCTTGATAGATGGAAATCTAAAGCAGGGAAATATTCAAGATGCTTTAGATTTACGAAGGAGAATGACCGGTAGTGGTTTGGAGCTTGACCTTCATGCCTACACTGCTTTGATTTGTGGGCTTTCAAAAAATGGCCAGGTGCCTCAGGCGAGAAGTTTTTTTGATGAGATGATTGAGAAGGGTGTTAAACCTGATGAGGTTGTATTTTCATGTCTTATAAGAAAATATCAAGAGATTGGTAATCTGGAAGAAGTTCTTGCATTGCAAAATGAAATGATGAAAAGAGGCCTTACGACAGTTACAAGTGACGTTGCAGTTCATAATATGCAAACCTGAGTAATTGTATTTTTTTGTCTGGTTACATCATTGACAGAAGAGGTCACGATTATACTCAGTGTGCTCTCCTATATCTAATTCAACCCCATCTCAATACTGAGGTAAGTTTCAGTTCATTCATGTATTCAGTTGTGCTTACATGTTGACTAAATGTAGTAAATAGAAAAACATAGATAAAATGCTCAGTGTTCTGTACAGATTATGTTTTTTTTTGTAAACTTGCACTTGAAATAGTGCTGAAACCCTGTTAGATTTCGTTTCCTACTTGCACAATTCATAGGAACCTTTTGTGTATGTCCGGGAACTTTTTCGATACTGTTCACAGCACCAGTTTAGTGCTGCTACATCAGTAAAATGCCTTTTTAAGTAAATGGTGGTATAGGACTCCCTTGTCTAGTTTCCTTTAGGCTTCAAAAAAGGATGCATGGTGTACAACTAAATGGAAGATTTTACTTTCCATACACAATGACTTATCCATTTGTAGCCAAAATCCATTCTTCCAAAAGAGTAACATGACCAAAGACCTTCTTGATTTCCATTCACACAATTCATGTAGTTCTCCTTTCCTGATCTTGAGTCGATCATCTTGTTTTCTATAAGGGATGCATCTAGAATGTCTCCCAAGTCCCAATAAAAGCGTCCTGGGATGTGGAGATGAGCTTGTCAGTCACCAGTTCCAACTTTCCATCTAGCTCCTTTGGCTATTATTTTATAACTCTCTCCACCACCATTTTTCAATAGTATGAGCACAATAAAGGAAGATTAAATTTTTCCCCAAAATTATTGTATGTGTCAGATTTATTACTGAAAATGAGGGTTATCCACTCTACTAGAAGTATGTGTTTCGAGGCATACCAGTTATAAGTTAAATTATCCATGAAGTTTAGTTTGTGAGGGGTCTTATAATTGGGGAAGTCAAATCAGTGGTGATTCATAATATGTTAAAGATAAGTTGCCCGAGACTGAAATGTGAGCCTTTTGTTTATCCTCTCTTCTTTTTATATTTGTTCCTGGAACTAGACTGTATTCCCTGTATGACTTGTCCTTTGTCTACTAATTAATCAATATCATCCTTTCAATTCTGTTTATTTGTGCTTGGTTCCACATCAAACAAAACATCTATAGTAATTGTTTCATATAAACAAAAATTGTAAGCTAGATACTCCTACCAAGAATAAGTATTCTAGGCACGATCCCAGTTGAGGTATGAAATGACCCACTGGTTCTTTTGTGTTCCTTAGGTGATATCGCTTAATTTGGCCGTGATCCTTACTGCAGGGTATTGGGTTGTCTCCTAGGTTTGAGCCTGCCCAGAAACAGAGGAAAGGCGGTAAGTTCATAATTGTGCTTAATTTTTGGTTGGAAATGTTGCATTATGGTTTGATTTTCTTATTTTGTTTTGGAAAGAAAATGGTTACAGATCATTCTAAATATCAAAAGAAAAAGAGTAATTGACGCTTGTGGTTTTTGTAATTTGTAGACTACTTTTGTGTGGCAATGGAATAGGCTAATCAACCACTCTTAGTTTTAGAAACTATGCGAGTTATCCCCTTGTTGGCTAATATTGTCCAACTCTGAACTTTTCTTTTCTAAAGAAGTTGTACCATGCTTGTACTTTGTTAAGATTTTATGAACTTATCAATTAAGTTGTTGAGTAGTAACACTTGGGCTAATCAACCACTCTTAGTTTGGATGTTATATATTTTTTTTTCTTTTGAACAAGCTCTATCTATTTTCTTCATTCTAGTTTTTATTTTCCTTTTTTTTGTTTTCTCTTTTCTTCGTCCTTTACTTCCCCAATAATTCTTTTCCCTGAACTCTCCGCCACAGCATTGCTCCAGAAAGAGCCACTATAGGTGCACACTTTACTACTGCCCACATGAACTCAACTATGGAGAAAGCAGCCACTAGAGGTGCACATTCTACTGTTAGACACATGAACTCAACCACAGGCCAGCTGAACTGTATGTCACTTGATCACCAAGATTTCTCTGGAGGAAGTTAGTAAGAAGTAACGAGAAAGCAGGAAGAAAATAGAAAAGAAAAGTCAATGGAAATAGGTCTTTCGCTTCTCCTATATGCAAGAATCATTTTTATCTTATTTGTTTTACTTTACCTTCTTTTTTTGTGTTGGTAATGCATATTCTGATTTTGTTTTTGGTTTTAAGTTTGTCAATGGGAACATGGATTTGGTGATGGTGAAAAGCTAGAGGATTATGGGAATGAAAGTAGAGAGATATCTACCATGACTGCTAAGATTTGCTCTAGTAAGAAATTCAACCAAGAAAAGGCAATGGGGAAAAAAGGGGTTTCACTAGAAATTTTTTGAAAATCTAGCTAGGTAGGACCTTCATTCTGAATTTTTTTTACATCTTATTTTATGACATGTTGTGTCAAGATCGTGAGTGGTCCGAGTCGTGTATGTCTAAAGAGTGGTCTTAGATCATCCAAGCATGTTCCCAAAGATGATTTTCTGCTGCCAAACATTGACTGAATGTTATCACTTCAGTCTTGTTTGATTGTGTGGCTGACTGCACATTAATCTTAGCATCCACATATTTGTGATGCTCATCTTGTCGATGTGTTGGAATTTAGCAGAAACATTGATTGTCTTATAGAACTTATTTTTCAACTTGGTAGGCACCCTCCTATGACATAACACCCCCGGTAGCATTTTTTTCATATCAGTCATTCAATTTTGAGGGAATAATTCACTTGCATTCCTGCTAGCACTATAAAAGCTTTGGTCTTAACGCTGTTACTACTACTGTGCAGCCTTTTCTCTGGTTTGTAGAGTCGAGTTTCTCGTTTACCCACAACGAAGGAGACGCTCCCACCATGCAAGCAACCATGGGTCATAATGCACTCTTCGCACGACAAGTCCACATTGAAGTTGACTTATTTGCTTGGCCAATTGTCGGGTATTTTATTTCTTAGCATTTTCACAGACTTGTTTCAAAATTTCAATATATACACAAAGCGGGGGTACTTCTGTGTTGTTGGCAATTGGCAAAAGGTCGGCAACGAGTGATTCATCATGCCCAACATGAGCCGATCGCTTTTTAGGAATGGTTTATAGGTACCAAATTTCCAAAAATGGATAGAAAAATGGGTCCATATAAATGATCAAGACCTCGCAAACAACAATGCTCCTTCCCTTTTATTTTGCTCTAGGGGCCATCTTTTGTCATATCTCTTACCTATGGTTCAAGAAAGGGATTTGCTAGAATGATTGCAACGAGAAACACCAACACCACTACTTAAAGGTGGAAATGGAGTGGACGGAGGATGACGGAGTAATCAAGCCTTAGACGATTTTCCCTTTTAGCGACAAGGTGGTGAGCTGCTTCAAGCGAAAAGCGGAAGTGAATTCCGAACTCGCCCAATCTCATTACAATCAACCTAAAAAAGCAATCGGGAAGATATAGGCAGTGCCTATTTTTTCTCTTTTCCTTCTCTTGTGCAAGGCGTGTGATCGATTGAAAAGTTCCTTCCCCTTTTTGCTAGGGAGAGGGTCAGTTTCAAACAAAATGGAAGTGGTTGGTTTAATGCTCTCTTGAAAGACAAAATAGTCGTGGATGCTTTCTGTAAAATGTTCACCCACCATTTCAATCTCCTAGAATCATGAACGTAGGTCTGTGAATTGTTTGCATATAGGCCCCATAGTCCTCTCTATTCTCACATAAACTTTGCTGTTCTTATGCTGGCACAACTTTTTTTTGTTGTTGATAACTTGTAGTACATATATTTAGTTTTACTTCTATGCTAAAGCCTTTGCTTTCTAAACTTTGGCTCCTTAATTAGTTAATTAAGCTTTTGCTTTACACCATCGCTAGAATCTTCAAGGCTGAATATATGCAGCCACTTAAAATTGTTTGTGTTTTTCATTTAGATACTTGTACTAAGCTTTATTCCAATTAAACATGTGTAAATCATGAAAACTTGGTGTAAGACAACATTGACATCATTATATATTTTATGTTCAGTCTTTTAGCATTGAAACATGATTTTTTCAGGAGCTCATTACTGCTTCACAGAGGAGAGCTGGAGGAAGATCAAAGTATCACTGAACATGATGGATCTTTAAGGAACTTCTACAACAATGTGACCATCAACGTAACTGGAAATTTCCTACCTTAGTTTATTTGTAAGTGATGAAGCCATATTGGCTGTTGATTCTACATTTTCTTATTCCAGTTTTCTTGAACCAGGTATATCCCATGAGACAGCAGAGCCGAAATCTTTTACATTGTCATGGACTAAGCATGAAGTTGTTTCAAGTCATATTGATTTGGAGGCCAATTACCAGCTCAATCTTGACATGATGAACTGAGCAAGAAGGGAACTGTCATGAAGGTTAAATTTTGCTCTTTACTGAGGGGATGAACATGAATTAGTGATCAATGACATGAAAACAATGCTCTCTTTTTCTGAATGGCATTGGTGGAAAACCACTGGTTTTTCCCTGGAAGCAGCTATGTCATCGAGGACGAGGGTTCAAATTCCAGTTGATACAAGAAACACTAGTTGATTTCTTCCTAATTGTCTTGGTCTTACTGGATAGAGTTGTACAGTACAACAGGAGATAGCAAGTCCTCAGTGGATTAATCTAGGACACCAGTTCTTTTTAAAAAGTTGCAATGAGATCTTGCTTATGGTAAATTACGATTTCTACATTGTAAACCTGGGTCCTTGGCCTATTTGTTTGACATCATTTCTTTGCTGAGCTGTTCTGCTATGATGATTTGATTTATCAATTTACCGAGATGAAGAGAAATTTAACTATGTGACATTGTGACTGGTGTCATTTGAGTTATGCTTTTTTTTTTAATTATTATTTGAATAGGGATGGGTGAATTGGGGTTGGGGAAACAGGTGAAGGAAGGGGAGAGAAGTAGTTTTCTTGTGCAATAAATATTGTGGACATTGCATATTCAATTGGTGGAAATGGACAATCTTGAGTTATACTTCCAGACTCGGTCATTTGAGCTCCGCTTGTGCCTGCTTCCTTCTTTCTTGAGGAAGCCATGGATATAATCCAGTGGAAGTTTTTGAGTTTGAGATGAACTCACCAAGTGGATATGTTTGTAGGTCGCAGTATTATCTAGTGCTTTGTCTTCAATTGAATCAATCTTTTACCTTAACTTGTGTTGTTTTTAGATGAAGCAGAAGAAATTGTGATGTACGTACAGTCGCAGACCACATATCAGGTCTTAAATATTCATGAGAGTATGTCAAAGTACAATTGTATATAATATCTGCGGAAAGAGAAAGTACCAAAAAATGTGGTATCTGATGTGAGAGATGTGGGGGGTCTATGCCCTTTCTATGTATCAATACTAGTTCTGGACATGTGCTATGCACGTGTATATTATACGTCTAAGTTATTACAGGTTGCATTAGCATCAAGTTATTAGTACCCAAAAAGATATACTTGATGCATATGTATGACAGCCAAATAACTAACTACATGGGAAAGTATGATTAACAATTGTAATGTTGAAAAATAACCAAAAGAAATCACATCTGCCTTCGTGAGCTTACGAAAATTTGAACTTCACACAACTTTAGCAGAGAATCAGAGTTAGTGACAAATTTCAACCTAAATCTGTTCATATTTGTAGGCAATAAGCATTGAGGTAATGCAAAGTAACTAAAGATGACAGACAACCTCCTCTAACACGAAACATTCCAATATATTAAACTGTGAGGTAATACGCTTTCAGGCCTTAGTTCTAACCTTTTGTGTGCTTCTACCAGTCAATCCATAAGAATTGCTCTAATCATCAAAATAGCATGAATTTTATATACTATACAATAAAGTCACATTTTTTATACATTAAAGTAGTAAAGTCACAACTTCAAAACAGAGACGCATGATGATATTATGTATACCCCTATGAGCTTATATCTTCAACATTTTCACGGCAGCCAAGTGATTATCAACATCAACAATATCAATATCGTGCATAAGTGTGCTCCCAGCTACACGAAATATTATGACATCTACAAAGAGCTGTCCCTTAAGCACTTCAAATACACAAACATCTCCAACTTTTAACTTATTTTCTAACACGAATGCCTTCCAACCAGAACCAACTTTAGCATTTGCTGTTCCGATAGTGCATTTGACAGACCAAGATCCACTTCCTGGAACACGAAGCACTAGATTGCCATCGTTCTCAAGGAAATACTTCCTAGCAAACTTCGACGCTATGGACTGCCAAAGGAGATGACTAAGTAAATTGATTTTGACGATAGTGCAATGGAATAAAAAAATATCAGAGCACTGCAAAGTCCATAAAGATTACAGCTTGTAGCTTACCAGATTGAATGGAGCAGAGACATATGATGGTTGCATAAAAACTATAATGAACGGATTCTTAGATTTAAAAGTTTTTGCTTGTTGATATGCTGTAGTGCTCTCTTTATCCATTACCGTCTTGTTCTGATCGTAAACATTCTTGGATTCTTGCTTGTGAATCCTGCAGTCTTCAATAAAATCATTATATTAATACTGAATGAATTTAAGTTATATACAACAACAATGTAAAGTTTCTTTTCACCATTTCTACGAAGCTACTTATTACTAGTAATACTTACCATAAAGATTTACGACCTAATAAATGACTTGATTGTGTAATTAATTTTACAATATTGGTGCACAGAACTTAAACTCATAGTACTAAATTATCATGTAACAAGATTGATTTTCAATTCAGGTCATAGCCAAAAAGATCCTCACTTTGGCCCTCTCTTGTGAAAGAAGATGAAGCTACATCATCTTCGTGCCATTTCCTTTTGGCGAACTGTCCATCGCCTAGGTTTTCAACAGAATGATCAACCATATCAGGAACTTTTTCTTTCAATTTTTGGCTTCTTGGAATATCCTCTAGGATATCAATAGAATAATCCGACTCGGACAAGTCAGTTTTTGGTGCATGGTGTGTTTCATGGCAATGGAAAATGCGTGAACTATATGGATATTCAATTTCTGCTGCACTCAAATCAAATATAGTGACATTAAAATGGGAACGAGCATTGTATCCGAACATCAAAAAGTGTCCACAGCTTATCGAATAATAGTCACAGAAATCCTGCCATCCTTTGGTAAGCCAAATTTGACCTTGAGAATGTTGCACTTCAACCTCCCATACTTGTCCACTGGGAACCTCAAGATACACAGGGTTTAAAATGTTGTTGCAACATCTTTTGACAAAGCCTTTCGGAATCCTCTGCATGTGTGCAAATGAAATCTTGATTCAGTTTCATAAATCTCAGAATCAAAGACAGTAATATATATATAGTACCAATTAATCCTAAGAAAATCCTGCAAATTACATTCTCTGTTTTTTTTCCATAACTAACTACTAAAACAAAAGGTATGCCCACAAGCCAACTAGAACCTATGTTTCTCAGATTCTTCAAAATGCACAACTTTTGGAGCATCCGACACGCACTCATCAACATTTCTAAAGAGTCCAAGCGAGCAACATAAAGTACAAGTAGAAACACAGATACAAACTCATTGTCCTATTTCAGTAGATCTATGCAACATATGTTCGAAAATGAAATAATGGGATTCCATTCATCAACAATGTAATTATTCATAAACTTGATCATTTATACTGTTAGTGAAGCTTTTCCCCCCTTAATGTAACCATATACTTGACTCTTTCATTAAAATTTACACCTAAAATAGCCCCTTAATTCCTACAACTCATACAAAACTGTAAGCCTAAATTCATTATGCTTTAACTATACACACCACTATATATCTAATTTGGTTCAACAGAAACACACATGGTTGAATTAAGAAACAGAAATCAAAAGAAGAAGAAAAAAAGGAGAGAAATTAATTGTACATACCAGACGGATGCATTCATCTTGGAACAATATTATCTTGTAGAATTTTGGTTGCACAACATTATTGTTTTTGGTAGAAGAAGAAGAATTCCCAAGGCAAAATCCTTCACTAAGAGCCATGTTTGCTTTTCTCAATCCACCTGCAGAATGATTTTATTTAGTACTAATATGGTAGATGTAAAATTGCTGGCTATTGCATTAAAGGGGAGGTCTAAGAATACCAAAACATAAATATGACCATTTTGATGGATGTTCAATACAGTGTTTTTTTTGGGCAGATAATAGTGTTGTTATCAATCAAATCTTATAAAAATAAATTTAATACTAGTATTTGTAAAGTGCAAGATTTTCAAATCAAATCCATCACTCAATCTGATTGATTAACTCAAGAATTGAGGAGGCAAGTAAATACTCCCTCCGTCCCTATTTACTTGTTCATATTTCCTTTTTTAGTTGTCCCTATTTAGTTGTCCATTTTGACAAATCAAGAAAGGACAACAAATTTTTTCCTATTATACCCTTATTTACACTTCTTGAAAATTGTAAAAGTGTATGTTGTTTCCCTCCAATTTATTTCACTTGAATTCAAATAAGTGGTTGTAATTTTGAAGTGAAAAGTTGTCATAAGGGTAAAATTGTGACTTCACTGTGTTAATCATTGTTACCTTAATCTGTGTGTCATTTCTAAAGTGGACAACTAAAAAGGGACGGAGGGAGTAGTTACTTTTAAGTGTTTTTTTGGCTTTTCTGAATTCCTAACATGTTCGCACAACCTAAAAATTATATATATGTTCGTTTCAAAGTAATTTGTTTGATTATAATTGGGATAAGGGTCTAAAAAACACTTTAACTTTGATCGGATTTGTTGTTGCGATACTAAACTTTCATAAGGACCTATTACCTCCCTAGACTATTTAATACCATATTTTTTACCCCCGAACTATTTAATAGTGTATTTTAAAGGTATATATGTGCCTACATGGACACATTACTATTTATAATTATGCATTATTTTTATGTCCACGTGGACAAATATATATGTTTAAAATATGGTATTAAATAGTCTAGGAAGGTAATAGGTCCTTATGAAAGTTTAGTATTACAATAGCAAATCCGACCAAAGTTGAGATATTTTTCAAACATTTATCCCATTATAATTTGATATGAAATTTAAGATTATTTTTTTTTAATTTTATAGTTTTAAATTAAAGATATATAGAATGTATCAAAATACGTTTTAATTTTTTTTTGTCTTAAACATGTCATATCGAAAGTTAAAATTAGAGGATTGCCAAACAGAAAACATCCTTTTTTTAATGAATTAAAAAGAAAGTAAGACAAACAAATTAAAACGGAGAAAGTTCTATCCATGAACAATCGCCATATATAAGAATTGAAGTATTTACTTTTTTTGTTATTGGAATAACCATTAATTTTATTTTAAAATCAACGCTTGATTATAAAATTTCTAAATTTAGTTTGGACTGACATTTTAAGCGTTCACTTCTCTTCTTTCCAAAAGTATAATCAAACAAAACTCTATTTTCAACTCTAACTTCATAAATTTTAAATAAAGTAAGAAAATTCGAAATCTCATCACCAATAAACGCCTTCTAATACTTGATGACTAAAGAACGACGATCCTTTATATTTTGAGGTCACTTGATTGATGGATAAAGTTATGGAGGAAGCATAATTTTTTTATTATAATAGAAAAAATTAAAAGTTGGATTATTTAGTATATACTTCCTCCGTCTACTTTTAATTGTCATGTTGTGATTTTCGGAAGTTAATTTGACTAATTTTTAAAGCAAAATTAGATTATATTAATTTGATATTTTAAACAAAAAAATTCAGATATTCAAAAACTATATGAAAAGTACTATAAATTGCAATTCTTTGTATATCAATATGATGAAAAAATACATTTTAAAATGTTAGACAAAAATCTAAACACTACGACAATTTAAAGTGGACGGATGTGATATAAAGTTTTAGTTAAATATTTGGTTCATACTTCATATCATAGTATTAGAAATTAGATATTCTTCAAAAATTAAAATATAGTGTTTTGATGTTCACCCTCAAATGGTCCCTAGATTCAAATTTCAAAAATTATGAATAAAAATTGAGTCAGGAGCCAAAAGGGTAAAAGAATTTATCAAAAATGCGATAACAAAATTATCATATTTGACGCGTGTCACGTTGTAAGGAAGCTAATCAATGCTTGTATTTCTTTTAGGTACAGTTATGCATAATTTCTTTTTGTCATCTTCACTCTGATCTCTCTATTTCTTATAATGAAATAATTTTTTATTTCATTATAAAATTGCAATTTAAAAAAATATTTCTTATATTAGTTTATCTCTTGTTATTGAGATAGTTTTATTATTACATGTCATTTCATATGCTGAATTTTTATTTCATTATAAAATTGCAATTAAAAAAAATTATTTCTTATATTAATTTAACTTCTTTTAAGTTTTAACCACGACAAAGATAGTAAAATGAAATTAAAAAAAAATTATTAGCAATTTTCTGCTATTTTTATTAGCAATAATGCAAGTGCTCCAGACGTGTTATGAGATTGGAACATGCATGGATTAATTTATTTTCTGTCTTGAAGAAATAGCAGCTCAATTTCTTTAATTACTTAGTGGGATTCTATGGCATTATTACTAAATTTTTTTTTTTAATTAACAGGGAAGACGCAATTCTCCTGCGCCTTGCGAGGCGCAAGCCGTCTCTTGTAAGACGCAAGGCAAGGACTAAGGCGCATGGGATTTCGCACTTTGCGGCTGTTATTCTAATTTGGACGATGTTAATTCAATCATAATAAAGTTGTGTTCTAAAATCAATTTTGTTGCCCTTTTAGAATTTTTGATAAATTCTTTTACCCTTTTGACTTTGGACTCAATAAAAACTTTTCTCAATTTCCATAAATAATACTCTCTTTATCTAATAATAATTATCCACGTTGGTACACTACTTAAGAAATAACAAATAATAGGGGTAATATTATTATATTATCCTTTGACTTTATTAAATTTAATGTTTCAAAAATGTGTTAGAAGATAAATAATATTTAATATCAAGAGGTAAAATAGACACAAAAGGTAAATTATCTCTTGATATTCTAAATTTGACAAATATTATTGACACCATTTTTAGTAAAATCGATAACTATTGTTAAACGAAGGGAGAAAAGATTATCACTTAGGAAAAATCCTTTTGGCCATAATTTGGCCAGAATGAAAAAAAGCTATAAACTAGTTTATTTTTGGATATTTTTACCCTTTAACTAAAATATTAAATATATTCTTCAATTATGTTTCCAATACATTGAAAATGATTAATGAGATTAATTATTGATGATTTCATAGTTAAACATGGGAAGGGAACCAAAAAATTCACCAAAGAAAACATAAGTCTCACCCACTATATATATATATATATATATATATTACAGTAGTAGTAAAAAAATAAAAAAATATATCTCTTTTTCAATTTCAATTTTTTCCCCGTTTTAATTTTTTTTTTCTTTATTTATTTTCCATTTCTTATTTCTTAATGATAAGAACATTTTTGAAAAGTATAAAAGAGAGTAAAGTGTGGATTATCTATTTAAATTTATAATTTCTAATCGTGAAAAGATAATTTATAGCTAAATTTAAATATTAAAAATTTATATCAACAACACTCAAAAATAAAATCTGAAATTGACCGAATTGGCTAAACAATTACTCTTATTTACTTAAAGGAGTTGTTGTTACGCATTGATTTTCTAGAAAAAAATTAATGATAAAATATATTTTATCCAATTATACTCAAAATGTATGTGAACAAAATATGAAGAAAACTCAAATTACCATCATGTTTCCTCTTATGTGATTGTCTTCATATCTTCGATTGCATATCAATCACATCATACACAAATAAAGACTCATTAGAATTAATTTTTATTTATTATTTTAGTACTAGAGACGTATACAATTTTTTTTTGGATAAAAACGTTGATGGTGTTTCATTGAAAAATTATAATAACACGGAAAGGATATAGAAAGTTCTTTATGATTTCAAAATAAACTTTTATAAAAAAAAATGAAAGAAAAACATCTTCATAGTTCTCCGATGATAATGACAACACAAATTTGTTAAGCATGAACTAGATTAAAGTTTCATCATCATCATATATATATATATATATATATATATATATATATATATATATATATATATATATATATATATATATAAATAAATATTTTATACTTATTATTTGTTGTTTTATAAAAAAAAATATTTGTTATTAAATGATATGCTAAAATATTAAGTAACATAGTTGTAGTCACAATATTATTATTTATTTATTTTCTCTCAAATTAATATTTGTTTCAAACTGATTAAGAATTTTTAAAATTAAGTAATTTTATTGCATTTATTATATAAATAAATTTAAATTACCTATTTAAATAATTATTTAAATTACATTTTAAATATTTTTTTATATATAATGTAAAATAGTTCAATAATAACAATCAAAACTTAAAATACTTTAGAATTGGTAGACATCAACACATTAAAGAAATACTAAAAATCATATGGTTCATAAGTGTAGATCTTATTTAACAATAACCCAAGATAGTTACACATTGATGTTGTAATATTGCATATTTGTTAATTATTATGTTTTAAAAAATAAACTACATATTTAAATTTTATGTTTGGTTATTATGTTTTAAAAAATTAAACTACTTATTTACAACTACATATTTAAAAATTAAACTACATATTAATAATTTTTTTTATGTATTTCTATAATGTGTCGATGTTTATCAATTCTTAAGTATTTTGAGTTTTGATTATCGTTATTGAAATATTAAAATTCTACATTAAATGAAAATATTTTAAAAAAAATATATATCTTAGTTATGTTATACTTTATTTATACACATTAAACATATTGTTATTTATTATACACATAAAATACATCTATTTTAAAGTATTATAATTGATAAGTAGGTATTGAGTAATCTTTTATTCATTATATTCACTTAATTAATATTATTGGAATAACTGAATTTTTTATTCATGGTTAAAATTAGTGAAATAATTTCACC